ACCACCATGGAGATGACAGCTGCCTCCGCGCCGCTGTACGCCACAACCGCCTTCCATGGCGCACCCGCCCCCACCGGGCACCGCGTCAGCACAATATCGAAAGCGCCATCTTGGCCGCTCCTGCTGCTGAGGTTGTCGTCGATACTGTGGCAGTGGCTATCATCGCCGCGGGGGGGCGGCGGCGCCGTGGAAACCCCGCCAGGGACAAAAACGCAACCTGGCACACAGCCGTCAGACAGCAGGCACCGCGCAGGCGTCTGCCGCAGCTGTGCAGTGCTCAGACAGTGGAGTGCCGCCGTGTCCCACACGGCAAGCAGACCCCCTGCGTCTAGTGTCGCCAACACCTCTTCGTTCTGTTCTTCAGCCACCCCAGCTGAGACTATATGACTTGCGCCATCACGCACAAACACACGCGTCAGCGCCACAATCGGAACCTCATGGAGGACGCAGTCCGCCACCTCCACAATGGTCTCACCACGGAGTTGAAGCACCGTTACAAGCCCGCACTGCTGCCCAGCGAAAAAGATGGGGCCGCCGTTAATACTGCCCCCACACAAGGAGGGTGAACCCCAGCAGAGGCAAGAGGGGTCGCTGAGGGACCGCAGGCGTCGCTGGTAACGAATGGCGCCATTGCGCTGTTCCCGCACACGCAGCCAGCCCCCCACCTCGGCGGTGATGACAACACACGGGAACGGTGCACCGGATGACTGCAGCGTCGAGAGGCTGTCGTGACGGTCCCCTGAGCACATGAGCCACTCGCTTGTCGATAGAGCAGCAAGAACGACGTTGGGCGTCACAAATACTCCGGCGCTTGTGACAGGCGTGGCAGCGATGGCATCACTATCATCGCCGACCTCCCGACTAGTAACATCAAGAGGCGGCACGTCAGCTGTGCTCCACCGGCGCTTGCTGCTGTTCCTGTTGGCTATGGACGCCGCGCTTGCTGTACGTACAAGAAAGGAAGAGGCCTCACTCCGCTCTCGCAGCGGCACACGGTGACGCGGCATGCTGCGCTGGGCGCCTCGAATGAACCAAACCGCAGTGGTGAGAGGCTTCTCCTCTCATGCAACAGGCGGCAGCGTGTGCAATACAACCAAAGGGGGGGAGGGTGTAGGGCACTGTCCGCGCCTTTTTTTCCCCCCTCCCTTCGCCTCCCTGTGGTGTATTGCAAGCACAGATGAACCTCTATCTATCTATCTCTGTGTTTGCGTTTAACCCCACCGCGGAGAGAGAGACAACGGAGAAATGCGAAAGTAGCAGGACGGCTTAACAGAGACCTACGCACGTCTATATGCATATATTATATATGCACACCAACACCCCTACAGACGTCTTCCGCGCAGCTACGCGCAAGGAGGCAGCACACGGGGCGTTGCCTCATACATACATCTATGCATACGCGCATATATGTGTTCGTGTGGCGCCTCTCACTTCCTTCGCCGGGCCGACACACCGCTGGCCGCCAGCGAAGCCCCCAAAAAACAACCAAGAAAGAAGGAAGGGTGCACACTGCACCGTCATTACCGAAGCGAAGAAGAACATAAAAGAACTGAGCTTGTGTCTAGTACTCTATTCAGCGCCTCTCTTCTTGTTTCGTTTCTTTTTTTTATTATTCTTTCCCCCTCCCCCTCCTCTATATCTCTCTCACTCTCTCTTGCTTGTCCTGTGGTTGTTTTTCTCTTTAACTCATTTTTTTCTTTGTCTTTCCAAATCGGCCCCCCGTTATTTCTTCGCGCACCGCCACTCCCGCTGCTGAAGAGAGAGAGAGAGAGAGAGGCGCGCCACAGCCGCATCGCTGGGCACCTATCCCCCTCGCAGCTTCAACACAGAGAGAAAAACAAACAAACAAAAAGACTGTGTTGCTTCTGCTGCTGTTGCTGTGCGTGTGGGGAACGGAAACAACAACAAATAAAAAACAACAACAATAACAGTACGGAACACCGCGTACACGCAGCTGAAGAGCCTTGAATGAAACACATTTCCTCCATTGATCGTTTGACGAACCAAAAAAGAAAACATACTGAAGAGGTTAAGGTGAGGGGGGGGGGATAGGTAAGGGGAGAAATCATCGACAAATGCATCTAACGGTGAAGCGTCATTCGACCACACGTGTCCACCCACCCACCCCACACACACGCACTTTCGCTCCGCCCTTCTTTTCACGCCGCCTCCCCCGTCCCTCCCCCTTCGCTCTGTTGCGGTTCAACACCGTGGAGAACGGAGCAGGACACGAGGGGAGACGAGGGAACGGAGAGGGAAGAGGAAGAAAGGGATGAGGTAGATAACATGGGGGTATATATATATATATATATATATAGGGCACATGGTGTGAAGTCAAAGGCATGGGGTGTACGGAAGTATGTTAGTAAATTAGCGTTGATCTATCATGGCGTGATGTGCAGTCTATACGCAAAAGCCGCATAGCGCCTCTCTCTTCGTCTACAGGCGCCACGAGGTCTTCACTGTTCTTTTATTGGATCCAATAGGCGTCCGTGGGGGCCGCCGCATGCCGCTGCTTTTGTTGTTGTTGTTGTTGTTGCACCGCCCGGCGTGTGGAGCCCTGGCGCGGTGCCTGCTGCTGCTGCTGCTGCTGGGAGGACGGATGCTTGGTGCGAATTTTCGCCTCCACCTTTGCCGCGTATGGACTGCTCGGAAGTGCAGGACGCAGACGGTCGCAGATGCGCTTGAGCTCGCTTGGACTGTCCGTGTTCTCGATGATGGACTGCACGACAAAGTTGCCAAAGTTGTCCTGCACCATCTGCAGCAGGGCTGCGGGGTTGAAAATGAGCTCATCCATCAGCAGCCGCCGCACAGCAGGGACGTCACCGCACACCTTGATGATCTTCTCCACAACGTTGCTGGCATATTTGTTGCAGCTCATGTTGAGCAGTTCGCCCGTGAAGCAGGAGACGGTGTACTGCGCCGCCACCGTCTTCCCGCTGTGCTCGATGGCGCACTGCACAACGTAATTCCCAAAGGGGTCGAGTGCAATGTGGGCGAAGAGGGGAACCAGCGGCGCCACCAGCTGAGTCTTCTGCTCCGCGTCGCACTGCTCAAAAATGCGCATCAGTGAGATGCAGCCCTGCTGCGTCGCCGCAAGGTACTGCGCGTTGGCTGAGAGAACATTCACAATCGGCTGCAGGTCAATCAGCGGTCGCTCGAACAGCGCCTGCAGGATGCGGCGTGTGTACTGCGAGACAGTGCACAAGTTCAGCACCAGCGTCTCCGTGAATGAGGAAACGATCAACGCCGTCTGCTCTGCACTCATGTAGTCCTTCAATGCGCGCAGCACGTGGCAGCCGTGGGTGTCGAGTGCAACAGTCTCCACCTCGGCAGCGATCTCCTGGACCATTGTGTCAATCACTGCGGCGTCCTGTGAGTGCATGGCCGCCAGAAGCATTGAGCGGCCCTCCGCCGTGCATGCCAACTCCGCGACGCGCCCCACACACTTGCGTTCAAACTCGTCGGCGGTATCAAGGGGAACCATGACACCTGGAGCCACAGGCGCAGAAACCGTGGGCTCGCCGTACAGCCTCGATGACGGCTGCTGCTCTTGTGGCTGCTGTTGCTGGGGGTTGTGGTTGTAGTAGTAGTGGTAGTCGCCAGCGGGGGATGCGGCACGGCCAGCATGTCGCTGTAGCCCTACCGTCACCACAGGTGCTACCGCGCGACGCGAAGTGGCGGTCACAGGTCGTTGTTGCTGCTGTGGTAGCTGTTGTGGTGGTTGTTGCTGGGCATACGCATCCTGCATGTACGTTGCCGACGTCGTGTACGTTTCCGTTGTGGGAGGTGGCACACAACCCGCTACCTGCATGGCGTAGTAGGCGCGGTAGTGCGCACACGTCGCACATGGGCACTGTGCGTAGTTCGCCTCCGCAATCTCCGCCATGCGCTTCGCGTCTGCGGTTGCCGTATACGGGTAGGACGCCGAGGACGACATATATGTATCAGGTTCGCTTGGGATGACGCTCGGTTGCGGTGGGGTCGGCGTGGCGTGCTTCTGCTTGTTTGGCCGCGGTGGGCTGATGTAAGTCGCCATCGGTATGCCGGACTTGCCGCGTGGCACCGCCGTGTTGAAGTTGACCTCACGAATCTCCATGTGTAGGGCGTATATGAAAGGTGTGAGTATATGTGTGGAAGTCACGCTGTTATATTCTAAGGAGTCGTTTCTAGTTTTTCTTTTTTTGTTTTCTCTTTTTTTTTTTTGTTGGCTTAAGTGGTTGTCTAGTGGAACGGCTTCACGGCGCGGCGGCAAGGCAAACAAATCAAAGCAGAGAGAACACCAACAACAACGATAACGAAAAAAAAAACAACAGGAAGACGTAATGAAAGTATCGTTAACGGACAGATGCGTGTTAGTACGTCTGTCTGTGGCCGCAGCCACTTCACCTTCACTCCCCCACGCTGTTTAAAGAGAGAAACATGTCTTACTCGCCTTTCTGAAGGGCCTCGTCGCACTCAGAGATCATCGCCTGGCAAATGTACGGCGCGTCGTGCAGCATGGCGGCGAAGTCCGGCATATTCATGCCGCTAGGCGGCTGCTGTTGCTGCCCACCCAACCGCCACACATTACCTCGGCGCGAGGGGAGCTGCTGGAAACGTGTGTGGCACACCTGCCCCGCCGCGTTTACCGCCACGTGCAGCTGCTGCGGCAGGGCGAGCTCCTCCGGCAGCGTCGGGTCCACGACGTAGTGCCGCGTGGGCGATACCAGCATCACGGCAAGAACCGGAAGTCGGGACCAATCCACGGGTTTGCCAAACGCCTTCCTTGGGTCCACTTCGAGTGAAACCCCACCTGATGTCTCATACAACGTAACACACGGAAGTTTGATCTTCTTCAATGCGGCGTGCACGGCGAGGGAGATGATCGAGGGAAGGTTCCCGCCGTTGGCCTGAAGCACATGCACGTCCATGTCGATGCGGAATGCGTAGCCACTGCCAATGTACAGCTGCTCACCAGGGAAGCCATTTCCGCAACCGCCAGCATTATTGTCTCCATCATTCACGTGGCGTTTGTCTTCCACACCCTCGCCGCCGGCATCGCCCTCTTCGGCGGCAGCGCCGTCTGCCGTTGCGA